TAATATTTCCTGCCGCTTAATTATGGGAACTGCCCCTGGCATCTGGGTTCCTCTGGATTTTCTGAAAGCCCCCCTTCCTGCCTAATTCCTCACTTAAAAACAGGATGTAAAAATAATCAAGGGAAAAAAAGGCTCGATTCGGGGCTGGAGGCCAGAGAGCTGAAGCCCACGTAAGAAATCACGCACTACATATTTGCCACACGTGAATTATATCTCAGCCCAGGAAGGGAGGGCTGATGCGGAATGTCTGTGTGTCTCCCTTTTTATATAGCAGTGTGTCAATAAGGGAAAGCTCAATATTTCTTCCTGCAGTCTATGGAAAGGAAATTATGTAAATAAATAACCATTACTGTGCAGCACACACCAGCCTGATCCTTTGTGGTACAGGGAATGTATTTCATGTTACGCCTTCGGAAGAGTTTAGTGTTCAGAAAATATAGATGTAATCAGCTGGCATATAACTGGAAATCAAAGTTCTTATTGCGCTGCAAATAGATTTATTGGATTTATGTTATCTAGCTGGACCCCTCCCTGGGAACTTTTATTTACTGGGAGAGAAATGGAGGTGTGTACATGAATAGAGCTGGGGGGTGGGGAGGGGGGGAGAGGAGTTTTGGGTCACGACCCAAGCCCTTGGAAAATGGCCAGAATTTTACGGATTAAACATACTATCCGGAGCTCAAATGTAAAAACCACAAGAGCCACGCCACGCCAGCTCTAAATGCCCATTCCCTCCGTAAACTGCATTGCACAATGTGCCTAAAAATGTCTTTCCCATCAGTCAAAGTTTGCTTTAAAGTTGGATGACTTGGAGAAAGGCTTCCCCTGAATTCCCCTCTGGCGAGCAATCAAAACAAGTTTAGCCCAAAGTGGAAATGTGTGCATGGGGGTGTGGGGAGAAGGTAAATTGCTCTTGACAGCTGTATTTCCAGCCTCTGATATGCCCCCATGCACCTCTCTTCCAAAATAATATTATCCTTCCCTTCCTAGAGCCCATTCATGGCTTGGGCCAGTTGCTGGAGCCAGCCCCTCCCTGATACACTTTCAACTTTTACTTTGGGGAAGAAAGAGATCCTATAAAACCCGAGCTCCAGTCCTAGCTGAGGTCCATCATTTAAGAAAGAGGAAGAAAAATAAATAAGAGAGAAAAAGCCACTTCTGAGTTGGGGCAAACGCCTTCGGGGGGCCTCCGCCATGCGAGAGCACTAAATATCACACCCGTCCCCTCTCGATTTAAACACAATCTTTTAAAGTTGCCTTTAAGCCAAGGCAGGGGGGCCGCGATTGGCCGATGTATTGATGAACGCCCTGAAATGAATGGACAAGGCAAGGTCTGTAAGTCTGCAGGCAGACTCTGGAGTTAAATCAGGCTGATAAATGCTGCCAAGTCTTTTTGTCACTTTTGAAAAACATGTTTCCATCAAGAAGACTTATTAAGATAAAATGCATTAAAATGTCGAGCTGGCTATTCAGTAAATCTTCCATTTGTTTTAAGATCTGCACTTTATCCCTTGCAAAGAAATATTCCCTCCAACACTACAAGACTGCATTTGCACTGAAACTAAAAGGGGGCAGTCAAAGTACACGTCTCTGACCACCCTGCATACAAATTAGATCCTCCTGTCTAAATAAATTATCTGATGTTCAAATCGATATTAATACTACATTTGCTACATTACAATATTGTGCAAATTTAAGAGTCATTTTAATACAATGTAAATACTATTTTTCATGCATGAAAGGCAACAAATATTGATGGATTATCAACTGCTTACTGTTAAACAAGGCCTTTGAACGATTTGCCATCTTTGTTCAAGAATGCTTTTAATTTTGCTCCGGCCTAGGTTGGGGTGAGATTTATTAGGGGGATTTATTCGTGGCCAAGCTGGTTTAAAAAGAAAAGCAAGAAGGAAGAAAGGAAGGCAGAAAGCTGGAGTAGATGGACTCCAGCCTAAATGTATTTACAGCCTATCTCTAGGTGACCCGGCAAGGCTGCTTCTCTGGCTTTGTTTCTGTTTGCTGTGTTTCCTGCATATTGTTCCCCTTTGATGTTTATATATTTCTCTCGCGCAGGTTACAATAATAAAAGATGCATTATATTCTTATAGGCTACAACCGGAGCACTTCAAAGGCGATGCTAATGCACTTCCCTGCCAGTTAATTTGAACCATCTATCATAAGAAAAATTGTTAACATGCATGCACGCATGTTTCCACCGCCTACACTTAATTTGATATTTTTTTTCCCAGGCAATCTGTTAAAATTCCAATATTTGTGCGGCTGTGCAGAGTGGGGAGCTCCCTCTCGCTCTCTGTCTCTCCCCAGCCTCCTCCCTGCCCCCTTAGACTTTCTGCCTCTCTCATTCTTGTATTTTTCTTTTCAAAGTTATATGTGCCTGAATTATT